GGGCTCTCCTCGCTCTCTCTCCTGGCTGTCTCTTCTCCCTCTCTCCCCTGGCTGTCTCTCCTCGCTCTTTCTCGTGGCGGTCTCTCCTCGCTCTTTCTCGTGGAGGTCTCTCCTCACTCTTGTCTCTATATTATAAAAAAAGTAAATAAATAAATTGCTGCGCGCAGTGCTAGAGTGTTTGGGTTTCACAAAAAGAGAAGGTGGCAACCCTCGGCACCAATTCAGAGATGATTTGCGGATCTACAGCCGAGTGATACACATGTAGGATACATTTTTGTTAATAGTTAAGGAACTTGAATGCATTTATAAGATTTACCTCCTGAGTTTTGTGTCACTTTCATGGTGAATTACCATCACAGTGTCCCCTGGGGCAGTATTTCCGTTGGAATGACAGCTAGGTGGGCGTGGTCTCCACTTCTCATTGCAGCAGCTGTAATACGCGGAGGGGGCGGGGCATGCACATACTTTCACATTCCGCTAGTAAACAGATCGGCGCCGAAAACGTCACTTCCGGGGGTGGGGTTTCGTGGTGTCTGTAGAGGGAAGCCGTGGAAGAGCGGCATTGGGTGCTGCGCCAGGCCGGGGATTGAAAAGTGGCCTTCAAGCGGTGCGAGACAGGCAATGGCGGAGGAGGGCTGACATTGGGGAGAGTCGGGCGCCACTGAGGTGAGGAGGAAGGGGGGACAGAAGGCGCCAAGCTGTGGGGAGGGGCTGACGTGGAGCCGGGAAATATCATGAGGAGGGTGTAAGTGTCCCGGGAAAGGCACAGCAGCCAGCGGCAGGGTGAGGGGTGCACGTTGTTAGGCATTAGAACATGTCAGAGAGGACTGTGCAGTTCGTAATGTGCAGTAAGCGTGCCTGGCTGCCAAGAGAACCTGTCACCAAGGAGAATTCACACGTTACAATCCCTCCTCCTGTAAGTGTCACCTCATTGCAGCAGCAGGCAGGACTTTCATTTTTTCTGCTCATTAGGAGAATGGTCTGACATCTGTGACATGCTGAGTCTGAGTTTGAGAAGCTTTGAAGCTGGAGGTTTAGAATGACATTAGGAGAACGGTCAGGCATCTGCGGCATGTGGTGTCTGGATTTGAGAAGCACTGAAGCTAAAGGATCAGAATGGCATTAGGGGAATGGTCAGGCATCCTCTGCGGCATGTGGCGTCTCGGTTTGAAAAGCATTTAAGCTGAAGGATCAGAATGTCTTTAGGAGAATGGTCAGTGTCCCCTGCAGCATGCTGAGTCTGGATTTGAGAAGCATTGAAGCTGAAGGATCAGAATGTCTTTAGGAGAATGGTCAGTGTCCCCTGCAGCATGCTGAGTCTGGATTTGAGAAGCATTGAAGCTGAAGGATCAGAATATCATAAGGGGAATGGTCAGGTGTCCTCTGCGGCATGCTGAGTCTGGATTTGAGGAGCGTTGAAGCTGAAGGATCAGGATGACAGGCGGTTGCTCAGCAGCCAGCGTTTTCAGCTGAAGAATCAGCATCCGGCTGGAGGTTGGCATTGGTGTAATGGGGAGCCCCAGGTTTTGGTGTCCGGTACGACGCTTCTCTCTTGGGGGTGACGGTACGGCACTTTTCTCTCGGGGTGCCGGTACGACGCTTCTCTCTTGGGGGCGACGTTGCGACGCTTCTCTCTCGGGGGCGACGGTGCGACGCTTCTCTCTCGGGGGCGACGGTGCGACGCTTCTCTCTCGGGGGCGACGGTGCGACGCTTCTCTCTCGGGGGCGACGGTGCGACGCTTCTCTCTCGGGGGCGACGGTGCGACGCTTCTCTCTCGGGGGCGACTGCTTCTCTCTCGGGCTGACGGTGCGACGCTTCTCTCTCGGGCTGACGGTGCGACGCTTCTCTCTCGGGCTGACGGTGCGACGCTTCTCTCTCGGGCTGACGGTGCGACGCTTCTCTCTCGGGCTGACGGTGCGACGCTTCTCTCTCGGGCTGACGGTGCGACGCTTCTCTCTCGGGGGCGACTGTGCGACGCTTCTCTCTCGGGTGCGACGCTTCTCTCAAACACCTGGATGGGACCTGCAGTCTCCGTACAGCAGAGCTCAGATGGAGGGAGACACAAGAAGCCAGAGAGTTGTGTTTGTAGTTCTCCTGAGATATGCTGATAGTTGGAGAGATCAGAGTGATAGACTAGCTCATCAGTCTGCTGCTGCTGATTTCACTGCCAGTCACAAGGTAGGGGGAAGGACAAGCCCTGTAATTCTTCAATGCCGTAGAGAAAACAAGGGCTTCCTATCTGCCAGATAGGGCTGTGCTGTGTGTATTTTAGTACTGCATGGAAATGCAAAACCACGTGCAGGCAGATCCCCCCCCCCCCCCCCCCCCCCCTTGTTATTATTGTCTTGTCTGCTGCTTTACAACTGGATGCTTTCCCCCAAATCAATAAATGACCAAATCAAAGCATAACTCTAGTCCTGTGTATGTAGCTGCTTGCCTGGAGTTCAGAGTGAAAGCCTAAGTCTAGCCGACAATTTCTCCAGTTCTAGCTAGTGTGGGCGCTTATTTTTCTGTGCCGCTAACACCCCTATCAGAAAGGTGGGGCATTCCCCTGCATCCCCGTTGATGAGGTTCTCCGCCTCTTTCTGCCTTTCCCCTTGTTGACCACGCAGTAAAGGGGCCAAGCCTGTTATCAATGGTTTCATTTGGTTAATGTTACATGAAACTGACTGGTTTCTGTTACCCACACAGGACAATGAGCACCTGTCGCTGGTGCACACCTGGAGGTTCTGTCACGGCAGAGCTGCTGAAGAGCTATGCTGTCAAAGAGTTACCAAATGAGGATTGTGTCGGTGCCAACGATGACCTCTCCTACTGCATGGAGTGTGTGGTGGAATACCACAAAGCCAGAGATGAGGTTCCACAGCTTCACAAGGTAATAATCAATCCGAAGGAAGAAAATGATGCGACCACATAATTAAATTAATGAACTGGATCCTATTTATTATTGGTATTTATATAGTGCTGACAGTTTACACAGTCACACATCAGTCCCCGCTCTCAGGGACCTTAGATTGTAAGCTCCTTATCTCAAATGTGTACAGGCCCAATTTAGGGGACAATTAACCTTCCATGATGTCTTTGGAGTGTGGGATGAAAGCAGAGTAATGTGTCCTGACCGGGATTTGAACCGGGGATCAGTGACCAGGGATCAGGCAGAAGAGCTAACATCTACTCCACTGTGCTGCCCATCAGAAATATGTGAGGGTCATCGTAACATCTTTGACCACTTCCTATCACAATTGCACATTTAGCTGAAGCCTAAAAGATGCCCATTTCAGGAGCAGGAGAGATCAGAGTGATGAATTGAGTTTGGTGTCTAGTGATAAAGAGTGTGGGAAGTTGACACCGATCAGCAATAGAATTTGGGTAGAGACAGGTATGTGGGACCAGGTATTTGAACCAGGGACTCTCCGTGCTGCAAGGCAGAAGAGCTAACCTCTACGCCACTGTGCTGCCCATCAGAGTCAGGTATTTGGGAGGTGGTAACTAAGCTCATTCGGACTCTTGCATGCCATAAATGTGAATAAATGAACAAATGTATTTGTAGAGAGGCTGCTGGCAACCATCCCCTTATAATCAAAGTTGAGTAGAATTGTTAAGCACTGGGGATACAAATGATGTTGGTGGAACCAGTGTCAGAGGCTCTCTCACAGCAGCACTGAAGGTGATGTAAAGGATAGCAGAGGAAGTAGTGCACATCAGTTAGATGGCTGGAATTGTAAAGGATGGAGATCGATGATTGGGCAGGAGGGGAGAAGAGAAAGATGGCAGCAGGGATCAGTGACCGTGGTGCATCGTAGCAGGGAGACAGCGAACGTTGGGTACAAAGTAAGAGAGTATCAAGTAGACGTCCGTGATGGACAGGAAAGGGGGCAGATCAGGGATGTTGGAGCAGGATAGTTGAAGGTCCAAGCTGTGTGAGATCAGGAATCAATGACCATGGAGCAGGATTGGAGAGCAGACAGTGTGAATCAGACATTTGAGTAGTATGTCAGAGGAGGCATTGGAGCTTAGGCAGATTGTATTGTGAGGAAGGCAGTGGTAATCAGTCAGGGCAGAATGGGGTTGAGGGGGAGACAGAAGAAATTGGTGACCATGCACAATTAAAGAGTGATGACAGAATGGAATCTAAGAGGTGCAGCGCGTTCCTGTACTGTTGGAGTGGATTGTGAAAAGATGAAGCAGAGATTGGATCCCTGCTACCTCACATTTCATCACCAAAGATAGAAGAAAGGAGTGTGAGGAAGAGTAGCTAGAATCTGTTTTAGTAGGCCAGGATTAGAGAGGAGGCAGCGGGTGGATTATCAGTGATGGCAGAACAGGATTGAAGAGTAGGCAGTTGGGATAATTGACGACAGAACATAATGTGATAGCAGGCTGTGGGGATCATTAACAATGGGATGAAAGAGGAGGCAGAGAGGATCAATAACAGCAGGAGGATCAGTGATGGCAAAACAGGATGGGAGAGGAGAAAGCATGGTCAATGATTGCAGAACAAGAGTGTAGGGGAAGCTGCGGGCATTGTTTATGGCAGAATGGAATGTAAGTTAGGCTGTAAGAATAAGTCGTGGAGGAAGGTTTAAGTGGAGGCAGAAGAAATGGATGACAGTGAAGTAGAGGCGAGGGACCATTAGTGATGACAGAATGGGGTTAATGGGGGACCAGTAAGTATTGGTGTTGCAGCGGATTGTGAGAAGATGCAGCAAGGATTGGTTGTAGTAGAGTGAGATGATGCTCAAGGTCGTACAAATCAGGGTATCAGTGATGGCAGAACAGGATAGGAGTGGAGACAGAGGGGATTGGTGATGGCAGGGTAGAATGTAAGAAGAAGCCGCGAGAATCAAGGCTGGCAAAACAGGATTAGAGAGGTGGCAGTGGAGATCATTTACAGCAGAAAAGGATAGGGGAAGAAGCTGCATGGATTGGTGAAATGTGAGGAAGGCAGCATGGATTGGTGACAGAAGAACACGATAGAAGATGAGGCAGGTGGGATCATTAACAGCAGATGGTAGAGGCAGCAGCATAGGATGGGAGATGAAGCAGGGAGGATCATTGATGGTGGAACAGGAGGCAGTGATGGCAAGACATGGATGGGAGAGGAAGCAGCGCAGCTCAGTGATGGAAGAACAGGATGGAAGATTAGGCAGTGGGGTTCATTGATGGCAGGGCAGGTTGGGAGAGGAATCAGTGACTGGATGGCAGCGGGGATCCGTTATGTGTTCCTCACTGCCTCCTGTTCCACCATCAATGATCCCCCGCTTCTTCATCTCCCATCTTCACTTTTTTCAATGTTATGTTGCAGCCTTATACTACACTTGTTTACATTCTTTTTTTCCCCTCATTAATCTACACTACCATCATGACAAAGTGAAAACAAAATTTTAGAAATGTCTGTGAATGTATTAAAAATAAAAAAACTGATATCACATGTACTTAAGTATTCAGACCCTTTACTCAGTACTTTTGTTGAAGCAGCTTTGGCAGCAATTAGTCTCCAGTCTTTTTGGGTATGACGTGGGAAGCTTTGCACACCTGGAATGGGGGATTTTCTGCCATTCTTCTTTGCAAATCCTCTCAAGCTCAGCCAGGTTAATGGGGACTGTCGGTGGACATCCATTTTCAGGTCTCTCCAGAGATGTTCAATAGGGTTCAAGTCAGGGCTCTGGCTGGGCCACTCAAAGACATTCATAGAATTGTCCCTAAGCCACTCCTGTGTTGTCTTGTCTGTGTGCTTAGGATTGTTGTCCTGTTTGAAGGTGAACCTTCGGCTCAGTCTGAGGTCCTAAATACTGTGGAACAGGTTTTCATGGAGGATATATTTGTACTTTGCTCCATTCAGCTTTTCCTCAACCCTGGCCAGTCTCCCAGTCCCTGCTGCTGAAAAACACCTCACAGCATGATGCTGCCACCACCATGCTTCACTGTTGGGATGGTATTGCGCAGGTGATGAGTGGTGCCTGGTTTTCTTCAGACATTGGAATTGAGGCCAAACAGTTCAATCTTGGTTTCATCAGACCAGAGAATCTTGCTCCTCAGAGTCCTTCAGGTACTTTTTTTGGAAACTCCAAGCAGGCTTTCATGTGTTTTGCAATAAGGAGAGGCTTCCGTCTAGCCACTCTGCCATAAAGGCCAGATTGGTTAGGGGCTGCAATGATAGTTGTCCTTCTGGAACCTTTTCCCATCTCCACACAGGATCTCTGGAGCTTAGTCAGAATGACCATCAGGTTCCTGGTCACCTCTCTTACTAAGACCCTTCTCCCCAATTGCTCGCTTTGGCCGGGCATCCAGCTTTTGGAGTCCTGGTTGTGTCGAACTTTTCCATTCGAGAATTATGGAGACCATTGTGCTCCTGGGAACCTCCAGTGCAGCAGAAATGTCTTTGTAGCTTTCCCCAGATCGGTGCCTTGCAATATTCCTGTCTCCGCTCTGCAGGCAGTTCCTTTGACCTCATGGCTTTTGCTCTGATACAGAATGCATTGTCAGCTGTGAGGCCTTCTATAGAGAGGTGTGAGCCTTTCCAAATCATATCCAATCAATGTAATTTACCCCAGGTGGATTCCAATCAAGGTGTAGAAACACCTCAGCAATGATCAAGGGAAATAGGAGGCACCTGAGCTCAATTTCAAGTGTTGTTGCAAAGGGTCTGCATGCTTATGCCAATGTGAATACTTTCTGATTGCACTGTATATTAGAGAAATCTAGATATGAGTGTATAACTAGCTATACACTGCTGTTACTATACTCCCTTCATTCTTTTTTTATCAGTCTCTGTGGCCATTGGAAACGTCGCGGCTCATTGCACAGCTGGAGAATGCAATGCGGGAAGAGATCGAGGACGACGATGAGCTCTACTTAATTGAAGACGATGGAGAGAAACAACTATTTGGTTACGGTGGCTGCAGTTTTGAGAGCGATGTCCGGGTGCCACTATTGGAGATCCTCAAGTTTCCATATTTGCTTCTTGACAAACGCATTAGTAAGTATTTCCTCCTAAACGAATATAAACTTGGAAAATGCATCTGGTCAGACAGACAGTCATTCCGTTTTCTAGAACTTTTACACCACTTAGATATACTTGATGGACGGACATGCCTAAAAACAAGCACAAAGCTGCCCATACACCTGACGATTATCGTACAATAATCGCGGGTGATCCCGCGATTGTACGATAATCGTAATGGGCAGCATGCGACCGCATTTACTGTACGGTTGCACGACTTTCATATTACGAGCACGCTAGAAAACCCGCCGGAAATCGTACGATTTTCGGCGGGTAGGTAGTGTGATTGCAAGTCTAAAGCCGCACGGGGCCGAGGTGCGCACACTGCCCGCTCACCATTGCAATTATCTATAAGCCCTCCCCTCAGCGGGGAGGACAGTGACTTTAGCTGCCAGGAGTCTGCTTAAACGGGCCCGCTGCCTGTGATGTACTAGTTACGTCACTGGTCGCGAAGGGGTTAATATACCCAGTAAATGCTATTGTGAACTGACAAGCAGAGGACCTTTGTTGGTTAACGTTGTGCATTTAGGTGCACTAGACAAAAGAAAGCCTTGATGACGGGAAGCTTCATAATAATATTAATAATTTATTTAGGGATGATGCCATCGTGATTTGGGGCTCTAAATGCATCCTTTTTCAGGACTTTGATTCTGGACATCCTGCCAAGCACTGCTAGATATAAAAGGTTTGCTACACACTGTATGTAACCTGTCCGTGCGTAATGTAATCAAATAGAGCGCTGAGAGCTGTATACAGTACTCCCAACTTCTTACTCTTAGGCTTGGTTCACACCTGAACGTTTTGTAGCGCGTTCAACGCTCGACGAACGCTCTACATAACGCTCAAACATCTAAATCCCATTGTATTCAATGGGTCTGGTTCACACCTTGCCGTATTTCCGCCCGTCCGAACGCGATACAAAACGGCCTACGCCCAAAGAAGTACATGTACTTCTTTGGGGCGTTTTGGTCTCGCGTTTCCATTGGGATACAGCCAAGTAAAAACACGCGATGCGTGACAAACGCGCATATTCAATACGCCTAGGTGTGAACCCAGCCCAACTGTAAGCACTGAAGTGATTCTTGAAACACTGGCTACAGATGTTGCAAACCTTTTTTATATCCAGCAGTGATTGGTTGGTTACATTTTCAGAGAGGAGCTTCCTACCAGGTCTGCAATCCATGAGACTTGCAACATTTTCTTTGTTTATAGCATTGTGTTCGAGAAAATTCATGAAGTTCTTATCGACTCTCTTACTGTCTCTTGCTATTGTGCCAAATGCATAAAGAATCCTGCCATATTGGTGGTAAGGACAGTGGCGGTATGTCACACATTCTGTCACACAATTCCACATGGAATGATCTTTAGAAAGCTCGCCACATGTGACTTCATCAAGTGCAGCAGAAGTGGTCAGATTCCTGTTGCGCAAAAATAAATCCTCTCCAAACAGAAGATAATCTAGGAAGCACGGGTATAATTGTGTTATATCTCCAAACTGCTGAGGTAAATTTCAATGCTTTGTGTAATAAGGTGCTATGGAGCTGTCATGGATTGGGACTCACTGGTATGAACTGGAGTCAGGTATGTGGACCCTTTCCACTACACTGGCAGGGACACTCGGAGAAAAGGGTCCAAGCAGTGCAGGTTGACGACTCCCAGAGCTGGAGTACAAGCAGGGGAACTGAATGAGGTAGTGGAAGTCAGCTAAAGCTGGAAGTTCAAATACAAGGCAGGGTGCTGCAATGCTGAGTAGGTGGCATGGGGTCCCCCAGGATGTGGAATCTAAGAGCCAGCCGGTATTCGCCAGAGCTCCTGATGGTGGAGATGGGCTTGACTGCGTGCTGACCCCAGGTCACAATCCCTAGGTCCACCCAACTCGCCTAACAGGTACAGGGTACGAATCAAAGGTTAGGCACAGCCAGTAGACAGGGATTTCCAAGGACAAGCCAAAGGTTTGGTACACAGGAAAACTTCCAAAAATTCAGGGTAAATCACAAATGGGGGACTCGGCAACTAGCTTGGCAAAGCGGGATTGGCTACAAGCAGACTGCACCGATTGGCCAAGAAGCTGCATAAGAAACGGCAGAAGAGGTCAGTCGACGCCTAAAGCTTGCAGACAGGTGCAAGAGTGAGGTCAGGTTCAGAGCACATGTCTGGAGGACTACAAGCACCAGCACAGCCCTACATGCCTGCAGAACCATGGGTAAGAGATATGTATATACTTGAAGAACTACAAGCAACAGCTCAGCTGTCTGCAGCTGAACTGTGACAGGAGCAGATATTTATTTGTTTTCTGTTACTCTCCCAACTGCTCCCAAATAGCTTCTCTGCCTGTAAAAAGATGCTTGCGACAGTCTTGTCAGATTTGCAGTGGATTCGAATCCACCTTACCTTCTAACGCCTGAAAGAGGGTGCATGGCCTGCGGCGATACCTTGTAAATCTGACTTGGCCAGCACATCCAAGGGTTCTAGCCCTCAAATCTGTACTGAGGTCTTAGATGCAAAAACAACATAGTGCAGACAAAAAAAAACAATCATGAAAACCCCAGATGTATCGAAGACTATATAGTCTCCTTTCTCAAGGTGACAGACAACTGGGAGCACAAAATATATATTTGCACTCGCCAATAGTTGAAACACAACCCACCTGTGTAAATAAAAATGGAGATCTTGAGAGCACTAAGCATTGACTTCAAACATGGAAAGGCATAAGCTTTCACTATCACCGATATGCTGCTGGATATCTCCGTGGGAAGGAGAAGCTCTGTCGCCATGTCCTGTTCATCCTTCATTCAGGGTTAGGATGTAGGGCAGTTTGTGTTCCAGATGACAGAAACCGGCTCTACTGCATATGCACACCACGGGCTGGAAATGACATCTGTGGCAAAACCAGAAGTTATGTTGGGCCTCGTTAAGGCAGACCTTCTTCAGAGGACACAAGCTTAAATCATCTCGACATAGGCATGCCCAAGAACAAATCAAAAGTGCACCGAAAAGGGCAACAACAAACCTTAAATATGTATATAAAAAAAAAAATACAAAATGTGATAGGGGCACTTGGCTACACAACTGAAGATGGTAAAGCCAGAGAAGCAAAGTAAATAAACTAGGGCTGGTAATGATTAAAATTTTCTTGTTCGATTAATCGAATTTTTTTTTAATCGATTAATTATAACGCACATACAGATCCAACTACATTGGTCTATACACATACAGCACATCAATGAAGTAATAAAATGAACTAGGATCACAGTAATCCAGCACTTTATTAATCTCACGTGCCCCACACAATATGGCTGCCGCTTGAGTGGGGCAACTCAGAATAATAACGTGCCGGGTTAGTGTGATCCTAGTTCATTTTATTACTTCATTGCTGTGCTGTATGTGTATAGGCCAATGCCTTGGCTGGTGCTCGTGCAGAAAGTTTCTTGGGCAAACTCACTGCCCCAAGTGGCTCCGTCGGCTAACGAAGGGAAGCAAATACAGGACTCACAAGGATAATTCAGCCAATGACACTACTGTACGTACAGGGACTGGCACTGCACATACAGGGCCCTGGCACTGCAAATACAGGACTTAAAACGCAGCCAATGGCGCTGCACATTTAGGGACTGGCTTTGCAAATACAGGACTTGCAAATACAATATAACCAATGGCACTGCATGTGCAGGGACTGGCACTGCAAACACAGGACTCACAATGACAATACAGCCAATGGCACTGCAGATACAGGACTGACACTGACAATATATCCATTAGCACTGCACAAGCAAGGACTGGCACTGCAAATACAGGGACTGGCACTGCAAATACAGGACTGACAAAACAGCCAATGGCACTGCACATACAGAGACTGACACTGCAAGTACAGGCCAGACACTGACAATCGAGCAAATGGCACTGTAAATACAGACTGACATTGACAATACAGCCAATAACACCGGCCCAAGTGGCTCCGTCCGCTAACGAAGGGAGGGGCGGGGGGGGAGTCCGGTGACATCACCGGACTCCTCCCCCCTCCGTTAGCCGTCATGGACATCGACGTCACCGGACTCCTCCCCCCTTCGTTAGCCGACGGAACCACTTGGGGAAGGGGGAGGAGTCCGGTGACTTTGATGTCCGTGACGTTACCGGATCTCCGAGGGAAATCCCGGAAGCCGGCGGAGAGGTGAGTACCGATCAAAAGAATTTTAATCGATTAAAGAAAAACAATTAATCGAGGAATTAAACGTTAAATGGTGTCAGTCTTTCTGTCCCTGTACAGAATAGCTGCAGTGTGACAGTAAGAGGCAAGACGAGAAGCCATAAGTTTATGAGCTGCAAAAAAAAAAAAAGCATTCTGCTAGGAAAAAGCAAAGTGAGATCATCACTGAACTGCTTCTCTTTTAACCATCCAGTAACAGGCTGGGTGCAGGGCCAGGACAACCTGGTCTCAGAAGAAGTGGGTTAAATGATACCGGCCATGAGACTTGGGACATTTTGCAGCAGGAAAGTACTGTTGGGGAAATCTCTGGATTGAAGCTGTTTTTAGATTGTAAGCCCTCACGGAAAGGGTCCTCCTTGCCATCTTGTCTTGAATTGTATTGTGATGTCTTCCTTATATTGTAAAGCTCTGCGCAAACTGTTGGCGCTATAAAAATCTTGTATATATATTATTATTGTAGCAAAAGCTAGTTTTGTTTTAATGGGCTATCCTTTTTTTTTTTTCTGTCTGGAGTTCTGATTTAAAAGTGCATGTCAGGGCAAAGAAAAAAGGGGGAAAAAAACAATGCCACAAATTCACATTATGTGTATGGTTAGTCTCTTCCAAATTGCTACAAATACAGGAAAATACCTGTAGATCTATTTCAGCTGACAATTGGTGTTGAGGAGTGGCGAGAGAGCCATGTTCAGCTTTTAATATTGATGTTGTTGCTTGATGATTTTATTTAAAACATAAAATTTGAGTCCATTGATATACCAGTGGACGGTCTGTACAGTTTTCATATTATCTAAGTTTGCACTAGAGTTTTTAAAAGGTATTGTGGCAATCTTTATGCCCCTTTTCCCTCCCCCCCCCCTTAATACTCGCACCGAAAATTGGTATTTCAGTTACATGTTTGGATGCTGTAAGTCTGACTTGGTCCCAGCATTTCTCAAATCTTGAACTTTATTGGTATTATGTCCCCTCCTGTCTCCATGGAGATGACCTGTGAGCGATGGGGGAACATGGAACGTGTGTTAGAAGTACACTTAAAGGGATACACCAACTTTCCTTGTCTTTTTGGTTAAACTATGAAAGTGTGCTGCACATTACTGAGGTAATCTCTCCCTTTTATGTAGGATGTTTACAGTGTCAGACTGACCGCAATGTAATAGAGCTGACTCCACTGGCTCTCCCTCTTCTATTGTAGTCATGCTGTTCAAAGGAAAACTTAATACCGATAGGCTGCCAGGCTATCAGTGCCAGGCTGCTGTAAACAAAGCTAGCAGGGTTTTGTCCTGTATTAAAAAGGGGATGTATTGCAGGGACAAGTCTATAATTTTGCCACTTTATAGATCATTGGTTCGACCTCATCTGGAGTACGCGGTCCAGTTCTGGTCACCAGTACTAAGAAAAGATGTCCTTGAGTTGGAAAAAGTCCAGCGGAGGGCAACCAAACTAATTAGGGGTATGGAGGACCAGAGCTATGGTGGTAGCAACCTTAGCGATAAACTGTTTAAAATTAACTCCATTACAAAAACTAGAGGCCATCACCTAAAATTGGTGGAAAAAAAATTCCAGCACAAGGGGGGAAGGGGGTTCTTTACAGTTAGAGCGGTTAGGGTCTGGAACTCACTGGCACAGGCGGTGATTTCAGCAAATAATGTGGAATTGTTCAAGAAACTTTTTGGACGATTTCTTAAGGGACCGTAATATACAGGGGTACAGGTACTCCTAGAATGAGATCCTAATAGGTTGGACTTGATGGACTAATGTCTTTATTCAACCTCAAATACTATGTAACTATGTGACTATATAAAAACAAACCAGGAATTTATACCAGTTGCAATAATAATTGTTCTCTGTATATATTTTTAATGCTGTTGTTTTTTTGGGGTTTTTTTTGTGGAGTTTTTCTCTAAAACAGTATTTTAGATTACTAATTTTTAAAAAAAATTATTTTGCATCCTTAGGTGAACTCAGTGTTGAAGCCTTGTGCAAGATGGAACAAGTCAACAACACATTTCAGGTTTATGAAAAGCTTCCTGGTGTCTACCTGCTTCTAGTACACCCCAATGAAACGGTGAGTGACCAAAATTCATTTACACTGCATCACACAAGGTTTTACCTAAGTAACCTGTCTACCAAACTTTGTTACTTCAGCCCCATGGTTTTGCCTAAACCAACCAACTGGAGAACAAATTAAAGGGAAACTCAAACTAAATGTCTGTCTGTAATTTCCTTCCTTTTCAATAAATTGTATAATGAGGGTGATGATCCAGCCTGATCTCAATGATTCGTGATGATACCCATACTGGGTTTACAAGCTCTGAATGCCTTCATTCAAGCTCAGAAATTCTGTATGAAATCCACCAGGTTTTGCTGTGGAACTCCTATGCTACCAGTTTGTGACCCTGCCCTTTCGCCTCTCGTCTGAAGATCGGGTGTTCATCAAGGAGCTGGGCCCAGTCTAGTCCTAATTGATGCCAATGTCCGCAGCCAGGTATCATGTCATCCTCTGCTTTGAGTGTTTTCTGTTCTCTAAACCCATCCGATCTCTTCGACTCTGTCTGGTATGGCTGGATGCTATCGGCTTATACCATGGTCATGCAAGATTTTATGACCCAAATCACCCAGTTATTTGCTGACTCTTAACAGGCGCACTCCCTTGCTGTCTCCTGTAAATTCTATTTTGGAGTTGCCTGTGGACCTAGCACCTTTCTGTTCCATCGGCCATCAAAGACTCTGATTCTGTGTTTGAAGTCCTTGACTGATTATTATTATTATACAGGATTTATATAGCGCCAACAGTTTGCACAGCGCTTTACAATATAAGGAAGACATTACAATCACAATTCAAGACAAGATGGTAAGGAGGACTGATGAACTTTCCACTGATGAGTCAGTTTACTGCCATTTAGATTGTAAGCCCTCAGGGGCAGGGCCCTCACCATCGTGTCTTGAATTGTGATTGTAATGTCTTCCTTATGTTGTAAAGCGCTGCGCAAACTGTTGGCGCTATATAAATCCTGTATAAAATTAATTCCCAAACTAAAGGACATTGTGTCACCTTTTTTGATGCACCAAGCACCACTGCTTCTTCCAGTGCTGTTTCCAGCATTTGGTCGTTTAAGATTCCTAAGACTGTAAAGATTTTCCTTTGCTTTTCAGACTGTCTGTATGGAGATTAGAAACATACCGATAGGCTGTTTGCTCTCCCTTAACACTTATTAGCCTTGTATCCAATTGGTGAGGATTTTGTGCGAAAGAAGTCTATTCCCACTGTGGATCCGGCAGTATTCTGCCTTAATGGGGCATTATATTTACAGGTACAAGAATCCTCTAGTGGAAGCAGTGGATTCTCCGGTGAATCCTTGGGTTCAGTTCAACCTAACCTAGGTCTTTCCGCCCCTAAAACATAATCTTCGTCTGCTTCAGAGGATCGATGTGAAGGGCATTCCAGTGATCCTCTTTTCTCTGAACGGACCTCTCAAACGGCTTCTTTCCAGAAAACTGATTTCCCTTTTTCCCACCGTATGTAGGTGGCTCACACATCTGTTTTCCCAGATTTGCAAGGCTATCACCTGATCATCTGTTCACACTTTCTCTAAGTTCTTCCAGGTGGATGCTGTGGTCTTATCTGATGCCCGCTTTGGGCGTAAGGTCCTTGAGGTGGCTCTTTGAGCTGTAGGCGGTCTGCTGTTTTCTTTGGTCTGTTAGTGATTGTTTGCTGTGTTGCCCACCCCTCATTTGGACTGCTTTTGGATGTCCTGAGAAGTTAAGACTCCTGTGTCCTTCAGTGGATCAGTAAATAGATTTTTTATTTTTTTATTTGCTCTTGCAGTCTATTGAGGGTCACAGTTCCCACTCCTTTTTGTTTTTATGACTGTGCTTTTGGTACTGCTTTGATACAAAACAGAGGCATGCTGGTACTGGGAGAGGGTTACCTTGGGCAGGCCTACAGTTTTCTGTTTGCCAGTGTCTAATCCTCAATCCTCGGATGGCTGGGTGGTTACGGAATCGCACACCACCGCCGATCGCGCTGGCAGTGCCATTATTTTTTAACGACACCCCCAGTCGTGCCAGGCAGATTGCGCTTTTTCCTGCTGCAATACCGCCTCGGGCGATAACGGTTGAAAACGGTGCATGTCGTGAAAATACGTACATCCACCTTTTTTCAGCGATTGCCACGCAGATGTAACCCCATACATGCGGATGCAACCGCACACGATCGCACGTCCTGGGAATCCCCAAGTCTGCACCAACCCTGAAGGGTAAATTCACTTTCCCAAGTAATTTGGGAAAATGGAATTACCCGCACAAATCTCCCTCCCACTATACTTACCTTTCGGCAAACGGTCCTTCCCGTCCACCAGTACGGGTGTACTATCTGTACCTGTTCCATGTATTGTGAATTCCGCTTGCAAATTGCAAGCACTCGTTGGTCAACGCGGTCACCTGACGGCACTGACCAATGAGAAGTGCTTCTTAGCACTACTAAATACGGTTTTGGTTAAAATTATTTTTTTGTATCAGGGACAAGTAGATTCGGCCCCCGCTTTAGTCCTTGGACAAGTAGTTTTTTCTAAAATGTCCACACCCCTGCTCCTGCAGGAGGCAATATTACCCAAAGGTTTAGGACTTTTCTGTTCTTCAGTGGACTCCTAAGAAAAGGATTTCATGCTGCATGCAGAAATCCTATTTTTATTTTCAGTGGAGCAGGAGCTCTGGCGCATTACATTTTGGATTAGATTATAGCACAACTCAAGCAAAGGCTTTTTTTCAAATTTCAGGTGTGTAAAGAATAGTTGCCTTTGCGGAGATGTATCCCATGACCGGATCACTGTTCTGTCCTTTTCTTATATCACTGGTCTTCTTTGCACTGTACAATACAGTTTGTTTTTTTTTTTGTACATCCGGCAGCTACAGACATAAGAGCTGTGGCTTTCATACACAAAAGCACTAGTTTCATTAAAACGCCCCCTTCTCGCCTTGGCCGTTCACACAATACACAGCGATCAACACGTTCCAAAATCAAGCTCTTCCATGCTCTTCCCTATATGAGAGCTGCTACAGCTCTCCTGTCTGCAGTGGCCAGAAGGGCAAAGAGAGCTGTACTATTTGGTATAAAGAAAAATCGTAATATTAAAGGACCGAGCACCCAGCAATGAGATACATCTCTGCAGCTTATAAAGTTTGTAGCAATAAGTTTATCTTTGAGACCGGGCGCATGCCTTTTTTTAAAATTGTGTTGAAATTGTATTTCCTATTTTTAGATTCGCCACTGGGCCATTTTGACTGCCAGAGCACAGGGAAAGGTGGATCGGGATGATTACTATGATTTGGAGGAAGTTTTCACCTGCCTCTTTAAGGTCATTGAGCTTGGACTGTTTGAAAACTCAGACATTTACATGTATACTGAGGTAGAAGATGGAAAGCTGATCCTTTTGCCATCACATTTGTACGACACCTCTAATTACAAGAACTACTGGCTGGGTAAGTGAGACACAATTGTATCTTGATTTTGTTCTTTTTTATTTTAGACCAATACAAATATTCCCAGACTTAGCAGGCTGCTTTTACGGTTCCATAGTGGCATCTGTGCAACCAGGTTCTAGCAACTCAGTCACAGCTGTATTATAGTAACCTGTGCACACACTTGCTCCAGTTTGATTCACTGGGTCCAATTCACATCCAAGCACTCTACTCTCTCTAAAACAGCCCTTTGAATAAAAAGAGGTAGAGAGATGTGCTCTGCAGGACTGAGGATTGGTTGAGTAAAACTGCTTTATTTGTGCCCCCTATACAAAATGAGGCATAGCCCCAATGCAAGGGTAAGTTTGTGATTTTTCCTGGAGTTTGTCTTTAAGTATAGAAGAATGGCAGCTGCAGGTTTTTTTTAAGGTGAACTATGGGGTTAAGGCTTTTCCCCATAGTTCTCCTTAGAGTAATGCAAGGACACAAACTAGCGTCCTCCCGTCACCCTAGGCTCAGTATACAGCGAGCTTGAGACGCTGAAGCGGATCCCGACAATTATGTCTGGACCTGCAAAGCTGCGTGAGTGACAGTGACAGCCTATCTAGAGGCAGAGCCAGCTGTACCCTCCCCTGTCGGTTCCGCCAGTCAGCGCTATCGGAGCGGGGAGGAGGGAATCCAGCCCCTCCCCTGTCACGGCAGAGAGCCGTGACCGGAACGCCGCTATGTGTTCGCTCACCTCCCGATCTACTGAGCCGACCTGTGACAGTCTCAGTGGTCACAGGTCGGCTTGAACTATGAGGCGAATGAAAAGCACTCACCTCATAGTCAAGTTTAAACAGACTCCCGGCGGCAAAAGTCGCCGGGAGTCTGTTTAAACAGCCCCGATGCTGGCGACGTACACTGTACGTCGTCAGTCACAAAAGGGTTAATGAGTTTTGGACTTTACTTTTTAAAGCAGTAGTTTAAAGTGACTCTGCCATGAGATAGGTGTGGCTATTGCTGGCCTTTTCTGAAAATGCTGGTTGCCTTATTAGGGTCTGGCTTCAATCTTTTGAGTCTTAGACCTAGAAGAAGATCACTATACCAAGTCAGTGACTTAGAAAACATAAAAGCCAAAGGATGTGCATGACAGCCAGCTACCAGCATTTTCATAAGGAGAGGTCCGCTACGGCAGCCTCTCTCATGACAGGTGTGCTTACTTTCTCAATCATGAGGTGACACAGGATTAGTTTTTTTGAGACCATTGAATTATATTGCTGCTTATTGGAGGAATTTGACACTGGCAAACAAAAAAGCCATTGGCCAGCCTGCTTTACGATTATGGATGTCTTGGTCGTACAGTACAGTCGGATTCAGAGGCAGCTGTGTAATATGCAGATATCACTGGGTGATTGGACACCGGCCAGTGATATGTGGACCCTTATATAATGCTGTGAGGAGCCTTTAGGGACGGACCCTACTTCAACCCAGCTAGAGGGAAGACGTGGGCACTGGAATCTGTGTTGGGCGCCCACTTTTGCATGTGGTGCAGTGCATTGGGTTAGTTGCAGGGTACTATACATATCCAGGGCAGTGGCATATCTGCCATCCCTGAAGACCCGTTTCGGGGTTATGCATGTCCAAAATGAGTTAAGCCAAGGTAGGTGGGATCCCTTGTTTGGATCTGCAGACGCTGTGGTGGTCGAGTCCCTGCCCTTATTTAACCCCCGGGTATCCCTTTGGTCCTTCTATAGCTTTTCTGTGCCACTTGTGGCACTTCTAGTGAAGTGTTGTCCCTGTAGCCTGTAGATCTCCCTCTGTTCTGTAGCTCAAGGCCATTCCTTATCTTGTTGATGATATTTCTCACGATTCACAACCTGGGAATATGGCTCTATGGCTATTCTGTATCTTATTTGATGATTGATGCCCCCACAATTTACTAGCTGGGAACGTGTGGGATAAGGTTCCAAGAAACATGCTGATAAAGCTTTTGTTCAGAACTCATAAACTTAAGTTCCATTTAGATCTGTTAGACAGTACCAAATGTCTTTCAGGATGCCATCTTATAATGTGTAGAATAACCTGTATAGGCCTTATTGTTTAATTCTTTCTAGCCTCAATAGTTGACAGAGTTTATAGAAATAAAAAAAAACTTGTTGTTGATGTAAATAGAGTACCCAGCATGCCCAAGTTAAAAAAAGTGTGCGCTTCCGTGAAACTGCGACAAAATTCAGTATCCCAAAGAGTCCATAGACCACGCTTTCAAAGCCCCTACAGGTCATCAGTTTAGAGATGCGCGTAAATATTGGCCCTAGAATTATTGCACTCGTGCGTGCAGCAATACCAAACGTGTAGTGCAATCGTCTTTTTCGTACGTATGCGCACTCGACGCGTGTTTACGTGAAGACGCGCGGGGGACTTTTTTTTTAATTATTATTTTTACATTTTATTAAAAAAAAAAAAACATTTTACACTTTTAATTGCTATCACATGGGGGGCTTACAAGCCCCCCATGTGATAGCATATTGGTGATGACAGATACTCTTTAAGGTGATACTGGGGGTCCAAAAGACCCCTACTATCACATTTCCACTTTAAATAAGCTATTGAAGTGCAGATCGCACTTCAGTAGCTTATTGCTGGGCTACAGGAACTGGAAGTGATGTAATACTCGTCGCTCCTGGTCCCATAGAACGGGGAGGAGGTCGGTGAACGGATGTTTGCCGCTCTCCTCCCCAGCTTCCTGCCGACACCCAAGATGCCGGTCCCGGGCCCGCAGGAGGGGTAGTGGAGCCCGGGATTCACGGCAGGGGGAAACGGCCACTACCGGATCGTAGAGGCATTCTGGTGACAGCTGAGTTGCCAGAATCTCTTCTACTGTAAAGTCGACCGCCCGCTCTACAAATATGAACAGAGCCCCGGCGGCTTTTCTGTTTAACCCCTTAAGGACCCATGAACAAGAGAGAAAACACGCTTTTTGTACTTGCTATAAAATCAGTTTCTTGGAGCTCGGCTAAGGACAGAGATCCAACTCTTCTGTGTTTGTGAGTTATCCCTAGTACTGCTTTTCTTTAAAACTGAAGTGAGTGATTATGTCTTGCTGTCCAATAGCTTGTTGATTTCATGACAATATCCTCCTGCAAGTGGCAGTACAACACAATTGTCTTTGAATAACTGATACTTGTGTCCCTTTTAAAAAAAAAAAACGATATGAAATGCTTTTTGCAGAAGTACAAAAATGCTGTTTTTAATGCCTATACCGTGATGAGGGCTCTTAGCACCAAGGGGTACATCACAGACGCTTTGCGAAGCTGAGTGTTGGAAATTGGTCTTCCGTTTTAATTTGTGAATGCATTGGTTTTACTTTGGTTTTACTTTTTTACCTTTTTTTTTCTATAGGTATTTGCATGTTGCTGACAGTACTTGAGGAACAAGCCATGGCCTCGTTGTTGCTAGGGCCTAACAAGCAGAATGATTTTATGCAGTCTATTCTTCACGTTATGGAAAAGCAAACGGAAGGTTAGTTTGAACATGTATCATTGTTAGACGCCGTGTTTTCATGTGAATAAAGTTTAAGAGGATGAAAGCTTTAGCAAGCCAGTAGATCTTTTTTTTTTTTTTGCCCTCTGTCAAATAATTATCGAGTTACAGATTGTTGGAGGTGAGGAAATCTTTGATCGCTTGTTGGCTTATTGTTAGGTTTATATCTAGATGAAGGGCCTGTTCCCACCACCTCCGTGCTTTAATTGCTTGGTTTCATGCGATTAACGGACGGTACCACACAACGCACTGCCCGTGCAATTATGCGCACTATTTTTTTCAATTGCAACGCACGATATTTGGAGTACCACGTGCTGTGGCTTGGCCGATCGCACTTTGGGCAGGAGGTGCGTTTGGGGTGCCATTCAAATCAATGCCACGCAGTGCACCTCCTGCACTGTAATCACACAGGAGGTGCTTTGTGGGGTACCATGCGTTAATTGCGATTTAACGCATGGAGGTGATGTGAACGGGGCCTTAGACTTTTTAAAGTTACTGATGTGGATGATTTTTGGTAGAGTTTAAAGCGGAACAGTTTTGCAGCTTCCTGTGTTCCAGTGAACTATAAAAAGAAATAATTCCACTGCTCCATTACTTTTAAATATTTTTAGAGCTGCTGTACCACTTCAGGACCATAGGATGTACCTGTACGTCTTGGACTTGAAGTGGTTTACCAAGAGCATGGCGGCTGCTGCAGCTGTACAGCTGCCCAGATCGCTTGTAGCAGCCTGCATATGTAGCGCCCAAAGCTGTGCTTGATTCCCTGTATTGGAAGCCAGGGGAGACAGGGGTCAAAAAGAGAACCTGTCACCTCCAAATGCCATCACATAGGGCAGGGGCGCCCACAGTTTTTCGTCTGAAGATCTACTTTTCAAATGATGAGCTCAATGAGATCTACCAACAAAAAAAAACACCTGCATTTAGGGGCGGGAGGGGCGGTGCATTGAAGTCAATGGCACCGCAGCCAAGCCCCCCGCCTGCAGTGCGATCGCCGACATCTGGAACGCAGGCGGAAAGCAAAATTTTTTGCAGATTACACTGGACCGAAATGCAGGCGTTAACTGTCAGTCACCATTCCCCGCAGGGATTCCCCCCTATCCTCTCCCTTTCTCCTGTGCTGACTGGAGGAACGGACAGGGGAGGGGACAGGCAGAGCCAGCTGCCAATCAGCCAGTGGGGTGGATCCTGACCGTATTTTTGGGATCCAACCTGCCTATGGAGCTGCCCTGCGCTCTCGGCATATAGCGGGCAACAGCCCACTATAATCTGAGTTTTGGGTCACTGAAGCAGTACATATATTTTTTTTTTCTTTAGTTGCATACATAACTGGACGAGTGTTTTTTTTTTTTAATCTTACAAAACCGTACACATGATCAGTCTAACACTACTGGGTTATATGCTGCTGCCTTAATTTGATTGGATGCCTTAAAGTGACTGGACACTGAACAATAAAGCTGTAAAGGCAGTCCTAATATAACCCCTCCCACTTTGTGTATGCCTGGTTTTGTTGACCATTCAGGGGGCCTGCCTTTAAACCTATTAGGGACTTTCCTTCACTTCATCCCACTTGTTGCCTTCCTAGTTGCTATTAAATTGGGAAGTGTTTCACCAGGGTAAGGTTGTTCTGAGGTGCATTCTGTTTAGGGTCTAGCAATCGGATTCTTTTTTTTTTCTGTCCTTCCTGATGGTTACCATAAGATGCTCCCGCTTATCTTGCTCCACCAAAGTCTAAAGGATTCGGGCTCCACCCTGCCCTTTAAAGTGCACTCTACCAGATCGGAGAGAACTTCATGGGCTTTTCAGCATCTGTTTCCCAGATTTGCAAGGCAACCTCCTTGTCTTTTGTTTACACATTTCTGGGGTTTTACCAGAGGGATGCTCAGGCCTCTTCGGAATCCAGCTTCTGCTGCAAGGCAAGTTGCTTCAGGCTGCTATTTTTTTTTTCTGGCATTAAAAATGTAAAAAACAGCTGTGACTTCAACCTAATTTAATTTCAATGTTTTTGTTTGGAGATGTTTGGATTCAATGGACATTTTCTGCTTTTTTAATGGCTTAAAGTATTTTACAACTCTGCAGTAATATATATAATATGCATATTTTAGATGAAAGCATCAACCCTTTTTGGCCTGCTCTTCACTGCTTCATGACCATCCTCGATCGATTGGGTTCTAAAGTTTGGGGGCAGCTCATTGATCCCATCCAGGCATTTCAGACCATCATAGGAAGTCCCAGCTACAACAGCGAAATTGAAATCATCAGGAAAAGCTGTCAGAGGTAGGTCTTGAAAGGTGCCCTTTGAATAACTGCCAGATTGTAAATAAAAAGGGGAACGTTTTTGTAGAATAAGTGCACAATCCATGGACAGACATCTTGGTACACCTTTATCTGGAGCTTCATTTAGGGGTAGTGCATGTTGTTGTTGTTTCTTTTATTTCTCTGGAGTATATCCAGAGGTCCAGATTAGACCTCTGGATATACTCCCTGACTTTAGGTCATTGGACAATAGGTGCCTCTAGGTAATGGGCACCGCTTACCTACTGGCTACAACCCCCTACACCTACTGAATAAGCCCAGTTTATCTTAGTGTCCTTAGAGGGATAGGAAATTTTTGCCAGTTCTGCTTGATTTAGCTACTAAAGTTTTCTTCTTTTGTTCTGCATGACCATCTATCTACAGCTGCTGGCAGTGTCAAACTAGACATTCATTCCGGCAGCTATGTGGGGTTCAGTGTCATACCAGACCAACAGGTCCAGAGATTTATTGCATCCGCTGTTGTGCTATGTGTCATGAGCTAATGATCATATGTGCTAATCTTTCCTGCATCACGTTGCAATATCTGCATCTGGGGACACAGCAGAGCATGGGACTAGACCAATGGGATTTGTGGCTTGCAGACTGTTCTTTCAGGACTCAATCCTTCAGCTGTGGCTGGTTTTTCTCATTCTCCTGAGTTCTCCTCTATGGGAGAGGGATTCTGTCCCAAGCTGTTAGACCAGACATTGGACAATCATCCTGAACACACAAGGGTTATTCTTGTCATCTCTCACTTGAATCATTCACTCAGTTTAATTTAGAATGATTGCTCTCACAATAATTCTCAAAGACCTCAGCTTTTGTTCACGTTTCATGTACAACTCTGCATCTCCTCTTAGCGAGGGAGAATTGTAAATAAATAATGACATATTTTCATCGCTTTCACAAGCACAAGTGTTTTTTCCAAACCATCTGCAGTTTGGTGGTGATCTGCGGAAATATTTAAGCGTTTTCTAGGGATGCACCGATACCGGGTACCGATACCAGTGTTTCTGCTGGCATGGAGCCAGCTTCACGGGCAATCTGATTGCCCGAGAAGCTGGCTCCATGTTGTTTGGCCGGCTTGATTGTGCTTGGCCGGGAAACTGGCTTCCCAACCAATCAGCATCAAGCCGGCTTCCCGGCCAATCGGAAAGCTGGGCGGCGAGCAATGACCCAGCTTCCTGATTGGCCGGAAAGCCAGCTCTGTATATCCAGTGGCCTTGTTGGTGACACCCAACTTGACAAATTTCGATTTAAAAATTGCTCGAGCCATTGGGAACATCTCAGCTGAACAGTGACTGCATCCAGTCAGATGCAGTCACTGCTTGGATATCGCGACTGTCTGCATACAATAGCTGGCATCAGAGATTTCTCCTATGTATATATTTGAAAGGATAGACAAATAATTTGCTGTATAAGTAATTGCACTGAAATATTTTTTCTCATGTTTTTCTGTTAGGACAACAAAGTGTGAACCTGATTTAGACGATGATGACTTTGTGACATGCAGCCAGGCTGTGTACAGTTTTAATACTGAAAAAGTAAAAAAGGTAAAAAGCTTAACTCTTTTTTTATTATTATTGATCATCTGTATTTTTTAAGAATAAACTACTGATATGAAGTTGTGAATATTTTCCTATTCGTACAGTACAGGACACAGGCTTCTTTGGCCACAGACACTAGATTATATGCAGCTACCTTCAGGTGATTGGACACTTGCAAACAGAATGGTGGGACAGCCTATATAATCCCTCCAACTCCGGGCAATCTTTAGTTTATTGCTAGTGTTTGTAAGTGAAGGAAGACCCCTCTCTACTGAGAGTTGTGTTTCTGGCTTCTACTTCCACAATCTATCTGAAGAGGAATCTTCCCTTCACTCAGCTGCACCGAAGTCACTGAGACTATGATCTTGCAGCTCCTGGATCAGCGCACATCCCTACAGCAAGGTGCAGTTTGCCGCAGGGTGCTTTACAGTTGCTGTACAATTAGGGTTTCAATCTAATTTAAGAAATAAGTTCCAAACCAAAAGTACCGGTGCCACAAAAAGTGGTGCAAGAAAATGTGACTAAGGGGTGGGGTTTGAATAAAGAGAATAATCCAGCCATCATAATTCTTGTTAAAACATGGCTTTTACAGATGTATATTAAAGTGACTGTTTTGTTTTGTCTTTGCTTTTTTTTTTTTTTTTTTTTTTTTGCTTTGTAGGAAGCTGGATGGAAAAGTGCAATTTGCCCCGACTATTGCCCTAACATGTACGAAGATATGCAGAGTCTTGCTAACATACTCCAGTCCGACATTGGGCAAGATATGCGTGTCCACAATAGCACGTTCCTGTGGTTCATTCCTTATGTTCAGTCTGTCATGGACCTTAAAGACCTAGGGGTGGCTTACATCATGGAAGTGATTCACCACCTTTCCTCAGAAATAAAGGTCGTCTTTACTCAGGGAACCAATCAGTGCGACAAAGTGACAGAATTTTTTGTCAGGGTCTTGGTTTCTGTCATTGAACTACATCGAAGTAAAAAGTGCCTTCATTTCCTGTATATCAGCTCACACAAGTGGGTTGACGCAATTGTCAAGTGTGCCCTGCTTCCAGTCAAGAGCCCCAGAATTACATCAACCTCAGCATTGTCTTCCTCCCCCACTTCTCAGACTCCTTCCTCTGTTCAATTTGCTTGCATGCAGTTAATTAGGAGCCTTTTGCGAGAAGGCTATCCGCTGGGACAGCAGGCAGCTTGCAAACAATATTTAGACAAATTCAACCTAATTATCAGAGGAAATGTACTCAGAAACTTAGATCTTAGCAAGTCTGAGGTTCAAGGATTGCAAACCTGTCTCACTCAAATCATTAAAAATATTAAGGACAAGGAATCCAGCATTCCTAGTTCTCCTGCTGATCCAAACCCAGCAAGCCTGGCCCAGGCTGTACCCTTTATTAAGACCGAAAGAATCGATGATGAGTGTTGTGGAGCCAACATTACATCTCCGTATAGCTCTGATGTTCCTGTTTATCCCTTGGAACGTAGGGAAGTATTAAAATGTCAAATTAAAAAGGAGCCACCTGATGAAAGGAGGACAGATGTGGAGTATAATTCTTATCTTCCTAGCTGTAGTTCACGCTTCAAGACACAAATTAAAAATGAAAAGTTAGATGATACAAGTACTTTAATTTCGGCCCGGGAGGAACCAAAAAAACTACTGACAGGATGGCAATCCAAATTATCTGAAGTCATGGCAAAAGTGCCAAATTTGAAGCCAAACGCAACAAGTGTAGAGACTGAAAGTAAAATAAGCACTATTGAGGGTAGCACCAAGCCAGCACAAAAGCCATGTTATGCGACAATAGAAGAGCAGACGGATTTGTTGCTAAAAGTAAAAAGTTATGGTAAGGAAAGTGAATCAGGTGATTTAAGCGACAGTGATGATAACATACCTTTGACATTGTTTTCAAAAAAACATCTGGACAAAAAACAGAGCGTTACCGACAATGTTCCAGTAAGTGAGCAACTTCAGAGGCTGTCTTTGGACAACAACCCAGCAGGCCGGCCCATAAAGAAAGAATTTCAAGGAGTCGCTGACATCAGCGCTTCCAGCTTTCTAGAAAGCAATACCGATTGCATAATGGACAGTGAAACAGATGATGATGATGCGCTTCCCTTGTGTTTTGTTAAAGAAAAGCTGATGAAAAGTTCCAAAAAGTCAGCTCTTGCAAACACTAAAATGAATCGTAATTCTGATCACACAGAAGTGGTGGCACAGACCAAAGGTTCAAATTTCCCTGATGATTCAATTCGGCAGGCATGTGATGTACCTGATTTTTGTTCTATAAAGAGGAAAGTAATAGGGTCCAGCAGAGCTCTTGGGGATGAGAATGTTTCCTGTAAAACGGAATTATCTGATATCATAACCATCTCGGATGACTCTGACCAGGAAGAAGAACCTTTCTGCAAATCTGTTAAAATAGAAAAACAAGACCCCGGTCAAGATACTAAAGAAAGTCCAATACAGAGAACAGAACAAGTTGAGTTTGAGCCTGTTGATCCAAATTTTGAAGAGTATGGTTCACAGGTTTTCGAATTTGAAACACAGGATGATATATATTCTGCATGGAGTGACTCGCAGTTGGAGGAGAAGAAGCCTAATGTTCAAGAAAATCTATCCTCCAGGCCAGAAACCAGCAATATTGAGAACTTTGACCAGGACAATGATTTAAATAAGTGGGGGTATGACACGGACTACGTTTCTGATGAAATAATAGAAAAGGCAGCCGAAGATGCAGAGCAGCAATTTAAAGCATTAACCTCTGCTGCAAACATTAAATCTGGAAGGGAGCATGGTGGTAATAAATCACCTCATGAGGCTGTTAATTCCAGCGTATCTTTTGGAAAGAGATCTCATGAGTTTGTTGCTGCTGTGGATGTTAAAAGCAAGCAAACCAAATTGCCAAAAGAACCATGTTCTTTAAATGCCAAGAATGGGAACACAGCAGCTCCAGCAACACAAAAGAAAGCACTAACTGCCAAAACAAACAAATCTAAAAACTCTTTAAAAGCACAGAGACCTATTCAGAAGTATGGAAGTCCAGGTAAAGCTTCCCTTGCTGTGGTCCCACCAAAGAAAATACACAAATGTCCTGAGCCAACCTCAACTGTTGAAAAGCTAAGCCTCAAAAAAGCTCCCCGCAAAGCTTTTGATCTGTCCCAGAGATCACTTGACAGTTTGGCTGAACTACGGAATCACGGCAAGTCTGCAGGGTTCATGGAGGCCAAAAAGCCTAAATCAAAGCTTATTTCACCACAGTCCATTTTAGCACAACGTAATAAAAAGTTGTTGGCTTGCCAGGAACGACAGTTTTATCAACAGTCCAGGCCTAAGACTTCGGAGAAAAGGAAATCGAGTAGTAGTCCCAAAAACAGTAGCAAAAATGCAGGTATGCCAACTAAGCAAAGTGGAAACAGTTCAGGGGATCGAACCTCTCTTTCAGGTCAACGGATCAGAGCAGAGAAAATGAAGAGGCCCCAAAAAGAACCTCAGGGACGTGGACTTGTGGATGTAAATAAACTTTATACGAGTAGCTCTGAAACACGTAAAGATGCTGAATCAGGTGGCCAACCTGTGGTGAAGTTAGCGCCACAATCTAATTCTCTAGGGGAGGACAATGCTCAGTCTACAATGCCAGTTACTGCAGCTAATACTAATGATCACAAAAATGATGATGATGATGATGAGGAAGATGACTTGTTTTTAACACAGACAGATCCACTTGATATGGATTTGTGTTCACAGTTAGAGGCTGAAATAAATGTTGGCACACTTCAAGATTTGTGTACGTCTGGTGTGGTTGATCATTCTCCATCAGTTCATCAGGTGACTGAAGGGTCAAAATGCAGTCCCGAGGACTGCACAGAGTTTGTCCCAGTTTCTAGTGATAACTACCCTATAAATGCTGCACCTGAGAAAAAAGATGATCACGTGTTTGCCAGACCTGGTTTGCCCCTTTTTCTTCAGAAACCGCTCAGACCTGTCACTGCTAAAGTTTATAGTGCTGGGACAACCTCTCGAACTGCCAGCCTCACAAAAGACCTAGAAAGCCTTCCGAAGCCCCTTCCTAATGTTAAAGCTAAAACTCAGACTTCAAAACCGCCCGTGCCTAGACCAACTATGCAACCGCCTGCCCAAAGCAAGGCACCAGTGTCTCAGACTACAAGCAATGTGCTGAAACCGCTGATCAACCAAAACAACATCCCCCTACAGTGCACTTTCAACTCTGTTCGAGGAACTGGAAGGAATTCTCTTGCTGCTATTCGAACACCACAACGGGACCAGAACTGGTTGGTGCGAGAGGTGCTGCACTGGAGTTTTGAAATGTTTGACAACATTTCACAGTTTGGGGTCTCCAAAAAACTCTGTCAGTTGCCGTTGTTAAAAGTACGACTTGAGTTTTCAGGTTATGATGAATACTTCAACACCTTTTGCCCGCTGATGCTCCTGAACACGTTTGAATCGGTAAGTGATTTTTTTTTTTCTTAAAGGGAATTTTTTATCCGTTATTTTTAGGTATTCTTAAAATCAGCTAAAAATGCAATTGTAGCACAAAGGTGATATGATATTAAAAGGATTTCCTTTCTTACAGCTCTTGTTAACTGAAAGATAACCACTTCCAAAACAGATTAAAAAGTTCTGGTGGAATTCTGAACCCTAATATGAAAAAGTATTTTTGTTTGGTTTAAAACAAAGGCAGTTCTCTAGTAGCCAGTGATTCCTGGTAGGTCCTCAGAATATCAGCAGCGGTTCATGCAGAAAGGCGAGTGCCACAGGATCTTTTGTGGTTCCAGTAAGACTTTATTGGTTCCAGCAAGATTGGCATTTAATAGCCAACACGTTTTGGGGGACTCAGATGTGTAGTACACGTTGCCTGCCTGTCAAGTACCAGTGCTGTCACGTAGAGTAAGTCACATGCTCCTACATAACTAGCCGCTTATTTCCTTTGGTTCTGACAGGGGAGCAAAGGAAAGGTTAATATACGGTGCTGGGGAGGGGGGAAAGGACATGTTTGCTTTCAAGTTGTATCAAGTCACCGTGGCAATGTTTGGGACTTCTAAATCATGTTTCTGGAACAGCTGGTCCCATGATGGCACAGAGGTTAAAAAAAAATGTTAAAATATTGTACATCTGGTAAGCTGCGGTTAGAAATAAGTTTATAATCACTATATCACTTTTTTCTTTTTCTGTTTACAGCTAGCACAGGAATGGACAGTAAAACAACCTGCACTTGCTTCCCACTTGTGTAAGCTCCATTTGCAAAATTTCTGCAATGAAAGCCAGATGAATAGAGGCGAATTCCAGGGTAAGATTGTTTTAAATATTGGATTTGCCCAAGTGGTCCTTCTTTCCTATCTGTCATTTCATCCCAGGGTGGTTCCTGCCTTCCACAATAATGAGGAAATTCTGCCCTCTTTTTCCTCATATCCTTCCCATCTGCAAGATGTTGCCCATCACCGTCTGTATGTAGTAAAAACAATCGGGACACCACTGCTTTCTGAAAATCGGATATGCTGCTTGTCATACCTAAATGCCCGTGTATCGCATGGTTGATTTTAGCTGACACGGTTTCAGACCTATTTGGTATAGAGTTAGGCTTCCTTCAAAATGACTGCTCATTCCACTAGAGCAGTAGGAATGCTGCAGTTGTTTCAACATCAGACTTCTGGTTCTCAGGTGTGCAGAGCTGCCAGTATGTCCTTGGTTTACACATTCATCAAGTTCTACTGTGTGAATAGGTGGCCTCGCCTGTGGCCTCTTTTAGCCCGAAACCATTTGTAAACAGCTGTGTGATTTGCTTGAAAGGCGACTCCTGGCAGCTTCCACTCTTGGGGCTTGGCACCTGCACTCTCCCTGCATGCAAATAATTGCTGTATAATCAGCTTACATTTAGTGCAGCTTATGTATACATATCTATATTACACTTCTCCTTTGTATGCTACCTAGCCTGTTAACCTTGTTCCCCCCAGGCTATGGTTTCTGGTGTGGTTTTTCCCACCCTTCTATAATTTCTTTTTATCCCCTCTCCTGTATGCTGTGCTGGAAGAGGACTTGACAAATCTGTTGGTTACCTGGTAACTCAGTTTCCAGGAAACTACCCTATCGTCTTTCCCCGACAAAGTAGCCTTCCTCATTGCCATGACCTCTGCTAGGCCAGTTTTTGAGTTGATGGTCTTTCTTGCAAAAAAAAAATATTCTTCTACACAGAGACAAGGTTGTCTTTCTGCTTAGAGCCTCATTTCTACCTAAAGCTCCTTCTTTCACTTTAATCAGGACATTGTACTTCCATTTATCTGTCCTGGTTCAGTACATCCCAATGAGATTTCCCTTCACTGTTTGGATGTGGTTTGAGCTGTTTATGTTTATCTCTTGGCTACCTCTTCTTTTTCTTTCAGACTTCTCTTTTTATCATCCCTGAGGGTCCCCATAAGGAACCATCTGCTTCATGTTACACCATTTTTGGGTGGCTTAGGGAGCTCATTAGTGCCTATAGGTTTAAGAACATGCATCAGACATCTATTTTTCAGGTTTGCAAGGCTGCCACCTGGTCTTCTGTTTACACCTTTTCTAATTTTTACCAGATAGATGTTTAGGCCTCCTCTGATGCCATTTTCGGATGCAAGCTCCATTGGGCAGCTCTGTGAGCTCCATCTAGCCCCCCCATGTTAACATGTTTTTCTAGTCCTGTATTATGGTGCTTGCTGTGTTGCCTGCCGCTCAGTTGGACTGCTTTGGATGTCCCTATTTTAAGAATTTTCTTGCAGTGTCCCCAAATTAAACTATTGCAGAACACAGGAGTTTTGACTTACTGTAAAATAATTTTCTTAGAGTGCATTAAAGGACACAGGTCCCAACCATCTGTCTTATGATCCACTCCTCCTATCCCTTTACCACAAAACTAAAGCATAATGGCAGTGGCAGGGCTTCGAAGGCCTGGTTCACAGTAGCCCTTGGAAACGCGCGTTTTTTTTTACCGCGAATCGCGGTAAAAACGCGCGACACGGAACGCGCGACAAACGCGCATATTCAATACGCCTAGATGTGAACCCAGCCTAACTGGTTCATTAACAGCTTTGTTGTTTAGTGTCCAGCCTCGTGTGAGCAACAATTTAGTCCAGTTATCCCAAGAATGACTTCTCCCTGTGTCCCCTAATTACCCTCAAGGAAAGGGCTTTACGGCAAGTTCAATAGTTCATTTTGTGGACACGTTTCAAAGTGGTCAGATCTGTTGCCTTTGTAAAAGTATAAAGTTACCTGAGGTTACATATGACTGCTAGCTACTCCTCCAGGCTGACGTCCTGTTCAGAGGAATGTGCCTTATAGGAGAGACCAAACCTTATGCTTTTTTCATGCCAAGCCTTCTGATTTCTTTGTGCAAACCTCCTACCCATCGCAAATTACTTAAGAAAAGAAACTCGGCTGCAGTTCACCAAAAAAAAAAAGAGCTCATAATCTGTCACTCTTCTTTTATTCTTTTAAATCCTATGCCTCTAAACAAAACAATATGCTCATCCAACTTGTGTCTTTATTTCCAAAGTCTGGATTCGAAATGTGGATTTGAATATGCAACGGCTGCCGAAAGAAGGTGATCTTGTATTCCTGCTAGTGCCAGAGGATACTGGCTCCTCACCCAGAGAAGAGAGCGATTTACAAGGACCTCCAATTTACCACACTGGGCACGTGTCACGCTTCGTGCGCACCCAATGCACACAGGCCTGTAAGTACTGAGCAGTTAGTCTTGCGAGATTGTGTTGCTCCCATTCCGCTTAACTTGATAACATTAATGCATTCTTTGTACTGTCTTGCAGTTGAAAAGGAACAGTACACGCTGTGCGAGCTGACCATTCACACCTATGGAAATCTTTTGCCGTACCGCAAACAGCAAGTACGGTGTGCAGTGATTGGCAGCCTGATAACCACTCTGAGACAGTTTAAAGCGCTGATCCAACTGCAGAGGAACCCTTTATTTAAGCCCATTATCCACCCTACCCCTGCTGGGTGCATCCAGACAGCATTGTCGGGATCCATTCCGGCTGCGGCGTCTCAGTATACCGCGAGCTACAGCTCGCGGTATACTGAGCTTTGGGTGACGGAAGGACGCTAGTTTGTGTCCTCCCGTTACCCTTAGGAGAACTATGAGGAAAAGCCCTGACCCCATAGTTCTCCTTTTAAGCGCTCTCTTCTGACCCTACATAGTTTCAACTTTAAATGATTTTTGTGATGTTACTTAAGTGTTAAGAATGTTGCTTTTGCCAACGCAATGTATCTTACCTAGTCTGCTGTATTTGTTTTATACATATTTTGAATCTACTGCATGCAGTAAGGGCTCATTCACACTGGAATCAGTCAACACAAACCCGTACCTGCACTTGGGGTGAGCATAGGGGGTCGTACGGCCGCGTAGTCCCATAGAGGACGCGGGCTGCGTACTAATCACACGCAGCACCTGTCCTTCCCGGGAGCTGCTCGGTACGGCCCTGCACGCAGCACGGAGCTGTACGTGCCGGCCGATTACAGTGTGAATGAGGGCTAAGAAGTTTATTTAAAATTAATGGAGTTGACGCTGATTTCTGAAATGGGTATGGGACGTAATGTACAATTGATGAAGGTATTTCTCTCCTCCTGTGGTCTCTCAGGTACCCATCTCGAAAGAGTACAACAGCGACCAGAGAAACGCTATTGAGAAGGCCAATTCTATGATTACACAGCACCCCCGATTGCCCAGAATATGTATGATCCATGGGCCCCCTGGCACTGGGAAGTCAAAGACTATTGTTGGCTTGCTCTATAGAATTCTCATGGAGGTATGTAGCCTTGTACAGTTTAACCTAGGGTTGCACAGATACCAAGTAACGTACTCGGTACATGTACAAGTACAGATACTTTTGAGCTCCAAGACTAGACTAGAGAAAAATTCAAAAGTTAGGAGGCAGCTGTCATTTGTAAGGAGCACACGGAGCTCCTGGGATTTATACATCTCTGTTTTAATGTACGATTTTGTTTTTATAAATAAAGGGATGCACAGATACCAGTTTTGCGAGTACTGGTACTTGCCGAGTACTCACAGATACAAGTACTGATACATTTTTATTAATTGTCATGTGACAGTTTTTCTAAAACAATACAGACTAATGATTTCAGGACAGTGGTGGAGCGCCAGAGCCAGGTCCCAGCTGCAACCGCTGCAACACTGGTAGTTCTCATGAAAATGCCAAGTATCTGCACTCGAAAAGTATCTGTGCATCCCTATTTTAACCCTTTCACTGCCAGGCCCTGCATTCCAATTTTTACCATAGCTGGGCAGACCATTTTTTTTTTTACCATACATTTAGGAAACGTACTGGACCGTTAGAATAAAAAGATGTTGCTACAAATTTTGTAAGTCCTGCGACAGTTGTGCAAATTTTTATCAAGCCAATATTTTCAATAAAAATGCACTAAAATCATCAGCGTGCACACAAAAAAAAAATGTACAAGATTCTTACTAAATCTAAAAGATAAAACTTTGCGTTAATAACTAAAAAATATTAGTAAATTTGAAATCGTGTCTTTTTGCAAAATGATAAAAAAAAAAAATAAGGAACGCAAAACTAAATAAGCAACTTGAGCTAAAAATATGGAGGGTAGCCTCACACCTATGTGTTGTGTTAACGCCTCATCTGCAGAGCCATTTTTTTGCTCTGCGTTGATGTGTGTTGCGATAAAATGATGTAGGCATGCATTTAATCGCAATGCAGTTATGAATGGACAGGAAGTAATGTATGTCAAGCTCCACCTGCTCATTTATAAATTGAGCATATAGTAAATGTTTACCATCTCCCCAATCATGAATGAACAGGAAGTGATCTGTAGCACTTCCTGTTCATAACTGGGGAGATAATAAACATTTATTATCTCCTCAGCTATGAATAAACACTGGAATGATCAGTACTGATCATTCCGGGGGTTTGTTCAGTGAAGGGAGGGATGGGTAAAGATTACACATTTACCAACCCTCCGCTCTACATAGGCAGAGCCAGCTGTCACTCACGCAGCTGGGTGGATCTCAACAGCATTGTGGGGATCCCTCCATGCTGCGGCAGTCTCAGTATATCGCAAGCTGTACCTCGCGATATACTGAGCTTTGGGTCACGGGAGGACGCTAGTATATGTTCTCCCGTGACCCTTAAGAGAACCATGGGGAAAAACACTTACCTCATAGTTCTGCTTTAACAACTGTGGATGTTTTGGTTTTTTTCTGGCTAAATTATAGTTATTGGATAATCATAATCATCAATGCTAACAGTTATATTTTTATCACATTTACAGAAGCAGAACAACGTTCCTGATCTGAGCTTTGGTGCCAAGAACAAGAGAAACAGAGTACTTGTGTGTGCCCCGTCCAATGCTGCCCTGGATGATCTGATGAAGAAGATCATATTGGAGTTCAAGGAAAAATGTCGCGACAAGAAGAATACTCTGGGTAGGTTTACCTTGGCTGGCTGTATGTAGTTATCTCTAGTTTTGTAACCGGACAGATATCTGCTGGGAAGATCAGACTGGCCTAGCTTGCAGTGGTAGATGCAAATCGACATACCCTGTCTGTGGCATCAGGGCTGTATAAATTGATATAATTGTAAATATGTGGTATTTGGTGAATAGGTGGCAAAGAGTGAGGAAATGCATCAGAGGAACACTATTCTAAATAGACCCGTAGTTATAGTTTTGCAATGCATTACTCCTTTTTTCAATGCTGGGGCTTTTAGGTGGACAGATCACTGTGAAAGTGCGGAGAAAAACCTCGAATGCACTCTGTTGCCTACAGCAACAAAACATCTAAAAGGTTATAAATAATTTGTTTTATTTTTCAGTATGTTATGTGAATAGATACACATAACAAAATGTAGAGGGGTTATTCTCAAATTTGCCTGCAAAAGTGAAAATACGCTTTAAGCAATGTTATCAACTTGCTCCGCTATCTTTTGTGAACTACAAAACACCATCTTCCAATGTACTGAAGATGAGGGAAGGAGTTTTGTAGTGGAAATAAGGAGAGCAGCATAGGGTGGCAACACTAACGCATAGTAAGTGAGTATTGTCAGCCTAGAACAGGAAGTGTGAAAAAGGGAAAAAACTGGAAGAAAACACCTTGCTGTAGCCACCGCATCTAAGGGCTGCAATGAATGGATCCGTATACCATTATGAAAAAGCAAGAATAGGCTTGGGACGATCTAAATTAAAAGTGTATTATTTTTTTGTTTTTGTCTCTTTTCAGGAAACTGTGGTGACATTAACCTGGTCAGGCTGGGGGCAGAAAAAACCATTTCCTCGGACGTTGTGAAATTTAGTTTGGACTGCCAAGTGAATTACAGAATCAGTGAGCACCATGACCATACAATTACAAGAAATATCTGTCAAAGAAATTTCTTTTTAATTACCGAGTTCTCTACAGTGTTATCAGAGTGAGCTTCATGGGATGCTGCATGTGCTACAACAGGGTCGACATTTTATAAATGAAGAGTGAGATGCAAGCCACAGTGTGGAATAATACTACAGGGTTTAGAGTAGAGCAGATAGTGTTTTTATGAATAGGTTTTTATTTCCTTTTGTTAAATTTTTCCATTTGGATTATTTGGGTCTAATAAGGCCATAGCTATCCCTTCCCAACTGGCTTTTGTCTCTGGCCCCTCTTCAGACTCCAAATAGCAACCCTGGCCTTTCAGCCCTGAGCTAAATGGCAGAACCCCAGACCAGAACCAATACAAGGCAGACCTCCGACCAGAATCAATACAAGGCAGACCTCCGACCAGAATCAATACAGGGCAGACCTCCGACCAGAACCAATACAGGGCAGACCTCCGACCAGAACCAATACAGGGCAGACCTCCGACCAGAACCAATACAGGGCAGACCGCAGATTGGGCAGTTAGACTGACTCATACACAACGACATCTCTGGGATCGGCAATCACACACAATCTGATCCCCATGGGACGTCACCCACACATATGCGTTAATGGGCAGCTTCTTCCATGCCAGCACACGGGGGAGTGCTCACCTTCAGCAGGTCCAGTGGGTGGGTGCAGCTGGCCGCCCCACAGGAGGCCAGGTCCCCAATGTGGAGGGTCTCGCAGGTGTGGAGGGTCTGGAAAACAGGGTTATTTTGGGATGTTGTGATGCATTCACTCTGTGTGCGCACTGGGGTTGTGAATACAGCTCCGTGACAGGTGTCTGTAGGGAAAGAGGTCGATATATCTCGGTAAGCAGGTTATGTGTTGGCAGCATAGGTGCTGCAGTAATGAATGTCTATAAGTGGGGCACTAGAGAATGAGGATCATTTTCTTTGGAGGGGGCCATGGACACTGCAAAGTAATTTTGGCTACTGAAGAGGGATTTTGGCTACTGAAGAGTGAGTATCATCTTTGGAGTGGGTGTAAATGCTGGAGATTTTGGATGGTCTGTGGAGAGGGTTTGGATAGTCTCTGGATGGGGCACAGACAGTGGAAACTGAGAAATGCCTCTGGAGGGGCAGCTTGGACAGTGGGCTGTGGCAGAGCATGCAGCTAAATCCACTACAGGAGGTAGAATCCTCCAAGTCTAATATTTGAATTTAGATATACCATGTAAATAGAATACGGAGTTGGACTTTAAGATTGCCAGAAGGGCCAATGGCAGCCTCCATATTTCCCAGGTGTCCATCTTACTAATGAAACAAGTAATGTAATAAACAATTTAAGGGGTCCTGTCCACAGAAGCTTACAATCTGTTTATTCTTTCCCAGAGAGAGCTTCTCAGGATCCCTCTGTGCTCAGGCTGAAGGAAGCATTGGACAGACAGCTTGATGAATTATCCCGTCAAAGAGCTATGGAGAGGTGTTCCAAGAACACGGTAAGTGAGGACGGAGTTTGACTTTATTTATTGATGAGACCCTTTATTTCTGAATTATTCATTAGAGGACAAGGCTTAAATCAATTGTGAGATACTGAGTTATAGTGCTGCCTTTAGGACTTCTCCCACTCCCAGCATGCTCCAGTTTGTTCCCAGGGAATGGATGTCTTTTCTCTCTTCCAAGAGAAGCAACCCAATTTCTTTGACTTGCTTCACTTTTTTCAATATTCCTTTATTTTTTTTTTCTTCAAGTGTCTACAGTTGCTGCCAAGCCAAAAGGGCTCTTATTGCAGCTTTCCAGATCAGTTGGTTCTAGGCTCCACTCTGCTGTGAGGAAAAAGCAGAGCTGGCCTGAAATGTATCCTGCAGGCACTGGGCTGTGCTGAGGCTTTCTCATGGACACTTGTGTGTGATGTGTGAATTAGCCACAGAGTTCTTTACAGGTTTATGGTTACAACCATTTGGTGAAACCCTGTCCCTGAAGACTCCTTAGGTAGTATACCCACCTTACGTTTTCCTGGATCCTGCCTGTCACACTGCAGCTTGCCTGCTTTGTGGGGGACCCAGGGTTTCTTCTGGACTACTGCTGTGGTAAGTCAGGGCTTTGCTTTTTGTTGGAGCTTGGTGTGTACTTATACTTTGCTCAGGTTAGTCCTCGCAGGAGCTCTAGGCTGATAATTTGTTGTGTGGTAAGCACTGCACAATATTTTAAATTAGATGGTTAATGCTCTTCTGATTCTGTGCAGGCTGCTGCTTTGGCCCTTCTGAGTCTATGCAGGCCTCTCTAGTCACTTCCATCACACCTGCGCGCGCCACTTCCATCGCACCTGCGCGCGCCACTTCCATCGCACCTGCGCGCGCCACTTCCATCGCACCTGCGCGCGCCACTTCCATCGCACCTGCGCAGCCTCCCTGCTATCTACTCTGCGTCAATGCTAAAGCCTGATGAAGGACCTGTGTGGTCCCGAAAGCGCTTGTTGTTCAGTGTAGAATCGTACTTTAATGCCAATACAATGCACATTGATTATACAGATGAAATGAGTGGAATGTATCAAAACTGGAGCAGAGAAAATCTGGAGCAGTTGCCCAGGACAACCAATCAGCTTTTATCATTTTCCAAGCTTATCTGAATAAACAGAAAAGAGAAGCTGATTGGTTACTATGGGCAACTGTTCCAGATTCTGTCTGCTCCAGGTTTGAGCCATTCTCCCCGGTGTGTTTAGAAAGTCTTAAAAAAACATCTTATTTACTTTACTTGTTGCCAAAACTTGTTGCCTGGACATTTTCGCTATTACTAATGATTCTGCAATAATTTATTTTTGAACAGTGTGAAGAGTTGGATCAGAGAATTGCCAGGCTGACAAAGGAAAGGCAGTGTGTAGCCAATGTGCTAAAGGAGGTAAACACATAAAACACAATGGTTTGTGAGCAGTGAGAATGAAGTCATCCTTCTTGATAAATCTCTCCAACAAATCACGGCTCTTTTTGTCTGAAGATTACAGAGGCGTGTTTTCAACATTCATTTTGACATATACATACACATCTCAAATGATATTCTTAAAGTGAATCCTAAGACAAAACGTTTTGGGAGTATAAGAGGGTTAGAACCTCCCCTGTCGTCACTAAGGAGATTGCTCTTTCTTTCTCCTGGTGACCATTGTAATCAGGACGGAAAGTGTTGAGAATCTAAAACTTTTACTAGAAAATGCCAGTAAATCTCCCCAGTGGCACACAGATGCTTTATACAAAATGTGAAGAAAACATTTTGGCTTTAGCTACACCTTAAAGGGTAACAGGTGGATATATTGCAGCTTACCAGTGCTTGGATATGGTGGCTCAGCCTTCGATTTTAATTGAGAGACGCAGTTCCATAATTTACAATCACAAACTATTTCAAAGTGCAATAAAGAGTGAAAAATGGAGACGGTGCCTTAACACAGTGTTTCTCAACCCTTTTTTAGTCTTTAACCACTTCCCGTCCGGCCGTTGTAAAAAAACGGACGGACGGCACTGCAGCATTGGTGGGTTGCCGTCTCCAGACGGCATTTTTTTTCTGCTCGCGCGCGCCCCCTAGCTGGCACGCACAGGCAGAAAAGACCCGACCAATGCAAACACCCGGTAAATAAAAAAAAATAAAAGTAACACATAAAAAAGTAAAATAAAATAAAAGTCACATATAAAAAAAGGGGAAAAAACCCCTCCAAAATGTTTAACTCCCCCACCCCCACGTTTACGCACCTATAAACGTAAATACGCTCCCGGTGCCCCAGCGCGCAAAAACGACAATTGCGCTACATGTTACATATCGCCGCGAACGTTGCAGTGAGAGCAATCATTTTAGGGCCATCAATCACTGATAACACTAAACTGATGAGCGGTAACAGCTTTTAAGATAGATGTCTGCTATGGATTTTAAGGGGGGACCCAATGCAAAAGAAAACAGAAAAAAATGATGTGGAGTTCCTCCCTTTAAGTCAGAATCCATCCCTTGCCATCAGGGGCACCACCCTTCATATCAGGAGCCCTCCTTCACATCAAAGTCCTCCTTCACATCAGTGTCCTACCTTATAATCTTCGTCACAGTTCGGGATGCGGCCGCATGACAGAGGACGGGATATAGAGTAAGTCTAGACTGAGGCGGACTTCTGTCCTCTTCTGAATGTTGGAGGGAGTCCTTTTATGCAGCCCTTCCTGGATCAGCGTTGTGTGATTCCATGGTGCTGGGGGCCAGCACACCTGAACAATGGAGATGCATGGTGCTGTGCAAAAATGTAAAGACACCCCTGACCAAGTACATGCAATGTTTACAACCTAGGCATTGAGATCTTTAACCCTTTGTTGGGACAGTGTTCAAATCTAGTTTACAACTGATAATAAGATTTGCCAGCACAGTACAAACAAGGTTATGGTAAACCTTAACTTCCCAGCCCAAATCATTAACATTACATAGAAGGGGAATCTACGTAATATTTTTAAGCAAGTAAAGCATGAATAAAAAGGTAAGCAACTTTCTTTTTTGCTAAATCATTGAATGTGAACATGTACCAGATTTCAAGTAGGTTTTACCACAATTTGGCTGCAAAAATGGAAATGCACTTTAAGTCCTTTATCTGGGATGGCCCTTATCTGAGATCTGTCATGCTAAGATTAACTGGCTAATGGGGAAGTTGTGCCATAATAGTTTAATAGGTAATTTCTAAGGTCACACCCCTACAATGCCCGGTCTAGTTCATCCAGGCCTCTTAAACAGCCCTCTGCTCTCACATGAAAAAATATATATAACTGAGTACATACGCCCACACCACTTTTATGGAGAATTTCGTCATTCTCCTTTTTGGATTACTGGAGCTGCCTTGAAACTTTTGATAATGTCTGGATTTCCTTTGCTCCGCAGGAGCGTAGGCGGCCCCAGGAAGTTAAGCGAAATATCATTCTGGAGTCTCACGTCATCTGCTGTACACTGAGTACTAGTGGCGGCATCCTTCTGGAAGCAGCCTTCCGGCAACTGGGACAGGAGCCATTCGGCTGTGTCATCGTGGATGAGGTCAGGCTGTTGGGCTAAGGTTTAACCTTCTGCATCCACCATTTGATTGTGCGTAAAATAGCTATAACCCTTTTTACGCTTCTTTCTTTAGGCAGGACAGTCCTGTGAAGTGGAGACGCTCATTCCGCTCCTCCACCGATGTTGTAAATTAGTGCTAGTGGGAGACCCAGAACAGCTTCCACCAACTGTTATATCGATGGTAAGCCCATGCATCTAACGACTGTGATCAATTTGATGCAAATTATGGAAATGTCTAATGGATTTTTAATACACCCGTTTGTGTAGAAACATATAGGCTGTGAGTGATGGACCCGTGGTGTTTATTTTAGGGTATCATTCCTACAAAGAATATCCATTCATATCTAAAACATTGTTAGATTCTGTGACTAATCTGATTTTATTTGTCTTTTCCTGGGCAGAAAACCATCCAAAGGCCCTTTGCAATTATTGTGTATTAAAGGATCATTAAAGCCTCCGTTTTTTTCATAGATCTACTGCTAGATCTATGCAAAAAGTGTAAAAAAAAAAAAAAGCTTTGAAAAGGGTTAATACTCACCTGTGTCTTCCCTGCGCGCTCCCGTCGGAAAATGTGAAGATCCTTGGGCGGCCGCAAAGCATCTTGGGGCGGGCGCATGCGCAGTTCACATTTTCGGCCGGGGCGCAAGGAGAGACACAAGGTAAGTCTATGGACGCGTGCACCCGCATGCAGACTCCCTGGGACAGGAAGTGCCAGAAAGCTCAGAGGAGTCAGCGCTGGATCTGAGAGCCGCAGCACCGCTGGAGGGACAGATGAAAACGGCAGGAAAAAAGAACAAAAGATTAAGAAACATTATATATATATAGATATAGATATATAGATAGATATATATATATATATATTATGTAGTTGTATTTTTTATTTTTATTTTTTTCTCCATCTCATTTTAGAAAGCAGAGGAACTAGGCTACGGGCAATCTTTGATGTCTCGACTCTGCCAAATCCTAGAAGCCTCTGGCAGCAATACTCCAGTCCTACAGCTGACGAAACAGTACCGTATGCACCCTGATATTTGCCTCTTTCCATCCAAGCACTTCTACAATTCTGTACTGAGAACTGACAGGTAGGATTGCCTTTGTAAGAATACATATTTGGTTTATAGTGGGCTTGGCAAAAGGGTGATAT